GGATGGCTCCAAAAGGGCTTTAGAAGGGAATGTTACAAAGCCCAGAGGGCCTCAGTTCGTTGTTTTGCGCGAGATGATGTTGGATTTCTTCCGCGCGGAGGAGATGGAGAAGGCGAAGGAGGAGGAGGAGGAGAAAGAGCAAGAGGAAAAGGAGGAGGAGGAGGAGGCGGGGAGGAGGAGTGAGGGGATGAGGGGGAGAGACGAGGAGGCTTGAGGGCTATCGACGATCGGCGACGACGACTGGCGACGGTGATTGACGACGACGACGACGATGACGACGACGGTCGACGACCGACGACGACGACGATCGACGACGATAACAACAGTCGGCGCCGCCGATCGACGATCGACGGCGACGACGACGACGGCCACGCCGACGGCGGCGACGCTGTCCGCGTGCGCAGAGCCACCCTGGGCTCAGTCTTTTCCGCATCGTTCGAAATCCTGTCCCCGGAAGCCTCTCCAGGAACATGATTTCTGGAGGAGGAGGAGTTGGAAGAGGAAGAGGAAGAGGAGGCAGATGAGGAGGAGGAGGAGGAGGAGGAGGAGGAGGAGGGGAGGAGGAGGAGGAGGAGTGGGGGGAGGGCTCGAGGGCGATCGACGATCGGCGACGGTGATTGACGACCGACGACGACGACGATCGACGACGATGACAGCAGTTGACGCCGCCGATCGGCGAACGACGACGACGGCCACGGCGACGTCGGCGACGCTGTCCGCGTGCACCGAGCCACTCTGGGCTCAGGTCAGCTCCAGGTGGAGGGTTTTTCCGAAGGGCTTCGGCCTCCTCCTCCCTCCCTCCTCCCTCCCTCCTCCCTCCTCCCCCCTCCCTCTTCCTTCTCCTCCTCCTCTACATTTACATCTCTCTCTCTCTCTCTCTTTATATATATATATAAGTGTGTGTGCGTATGCTTCCATCTAGGTATGTACGTGTGTGTATGTATGCATGAATGTATGTTTGTATAATTCATGAGTGTGTGTATGTATGCATGTACGGATGGATGGGTGGGTGGATGGATGTATGCGTATACGTACGTATGTGTGTATGTCTATAATATATATATATATATATCGTTATATATATATATCGTTATATATATGTATGTATATATATATATATCTCGTTATATATCTATATACGCACATATATGTGTCTACACATACGGCCGGGGGGGCGGCGGGCCAGAGCCTGCATCTACCCTCCACGGGTGCCCCCTTGGTTTCTTGGGGGGGTGTCCCAGAGCTCCCGAGACGGCCCGGGCCCGCACCGAAACGGGCCACGCCAGGCTAAGGCGGTCCTAAGAGGGCCCAAGACGGTCCCAAGAGGCCCCGAAAAAACACCCAAAATGCCCTTAAGACGGCCGACGAGGACTCCCACGCGCTCCAGGCCGGCATCAAGAGGCTCCCCCAGGTGGCCCTGAGAGAGACACAGTTCGTCCATGTTCAGAAAGTTGTCGGAGAATTAGCGCTCCCTCACGGCCTCGGAGGCCCTTCAGATCGCTCCAAGACGGCCCGCGAGACCCCGAAGAGGGACCCAAGGCGGCCCAGTAGGCTCCCCAGACAACCCAAGTGTGCCCCAAGAGCGCCCCACGAGAGGGCCCAGATAAAGGATATCCGAGCCCCTGCGCACATTCTGGCCCTTCCGTCTCGGACGGCTTCCTGGGGGCGTCCTTGGACGACCTAGACCGCCTGAAAGCGCCCCCGAACCTTTTCAGGATGGTGCGCCCACGGATCTTGCGGTCTCCGGAACAGCCCGAAAGCGTCCTGGACTCCCCAATGGCCTTCGACACCGCGCAAGAGATTTCAGAAAGGTAACAAAAAATGTGATTCGAATCGTTCGACCCCACCCCCTTGTTTTTTCGCTTTCTCGCTGTTCTGATTTTCCGATGCTCCAATACCGCCGCAAAGATCCCCACGAGTTCCCCAAGAAGGCTCCAAGACGGCGCAAGAGTTCCCAAGATCGTCCAAGGACGGCCCAAGAGGGCTACAGGACTGGCTGGGAAGCGCTCAAGATGCCCTAAGAGGGCCCCCAAACAGCACCAAATAACCCAGGACGGTTTCCACACGGCCCACGAGACCCCCAGGACAACCCGAGAGCGCTCCAGTACTCCCCAAGGTAACCTCCAGTTGGCCTTAGACATAGCGCAAGAGACTTCGGAGAGACAAAAAACATGTTTTTACACGTTGTTCGCTTTCTCGCTTTTCCCTCCTCCCAAGAAACTGGCGGCGACGAGGGTGACGTGGATATTGAAGAAGCGCTGTATGGTCTACCTTTTTTCCACCTTTCCGTGCAACATGTCGTCGTTTTGTGCGCGGGTTTTTTCGTCGAGTCACGGTGCAGGTCCAGGGCCGGTGCGCGTGGGAATGAGGGCTCCGTCAGCATCCCGCTCAGACGTTTGCACGGGGTGGCGCTAAGGACATTCTGGCCTCGGTTCGGTTTGCGCTCGCACCGCTGCATAATGTAAAACCAACGTTTCGCGAAGAACCCGACCAATTTTCACACAGTCAACGATGAAGAGGACCACTAAATACACAATACAGGGCTTGCGAATCGGAAGGGCTTGCGAATTAATGACTGTAGTTAATTGAAGGGCTTGCGAATCGGTGTTCGACTGGGCCGCAGGGCCCACTCTGCGTGCGCATATGACGCAGTTGAGCCAGGCCTCGGGGAGCTTTCCGTCTAGCTACATGTGGGTGGGTGTTTGAAGGAGGGAGGGGGCGACCCTACGTCTCTCGCACACATGTACACAGAAGGCAGATCCCGGTCTGGGGACCCCAAACCTGCCCCACCCTTGTGCGTTCGCCCCCCCCCTCCCAGCCTCATGTTCTGAGCGGTTCCCGGTGGTCTGAGATCGACCGTGAGCGCTCGAAGTGCACCCAGGAGGATTTCCACACGGCCCGATTGGCCTCCAGGACAGCCCGAGAGCATTCCAACACGTCTCAAGATAGCCTCCATTTGCCCCAAAGCATCACCAACGAGAGATCCAAGGGGCAAAAAACCTTGTTTTGCAATTCGTTTTTGTCAGTGTGTTTCGCTGCATCGTTTATTCCAGCTACCGCTGCTCCAAGACGGCCCAGGTGGCTGCCACGAGCCCGCCAAGATGGCTCCAAGACGGCTCCAGCACACCCAAGAGTGCCCCAGGACGCCCCACGAGAGATCGCCCCAGTAACGGCCGCAAAGATCAATTTATCTGTGTTCTACACAGCGACGCACTGGACGCGCTTGGTCGACATTACCGGTGTCAGCGCGACTTCGACCTCTTCCACTTCTCAAGGTTTGCGAATCAGAGGGCCATGTTCCTTGCCTTAGATACTGCGTGTCACTTCGGCATCAGCCAGACTATTGTTGCTGCACCGCGCCTTGCCTTTGCACAAAAACAGAGTGCCCCTGGACGCCTCAAGAGGCCTCCAAGAGGACCCCAGAGGCGTTCAAGAGAGCCCCAAGGCGGCCCCAAGACTATCCAGGATGGTCTCCACACGGCCCACGTGATCTCGAGGACAGTCCGCAAGCGGACCAACACGCCCCGAGATAGCCTCAAGCTGGCACTATACACCTCACAAGAGAGTTCTGAGAGGGCAAACATATTGATGTTCAGTGTTTTTGTCGTTGGTTTTTGATTTGCTCGCCTTTCCGACCCTCCGATGCCCCGCGACCGCCTCAAATATTCCCACGAGCTCCCCAAGAAGGCTCTAAGACGGCCCCAGAGGCCCCCAAGAGAGCCCCAGGACAGCCCAAGAGGGCTCCAAGACGGACCCAGAAGCGGTCAAGACACCCCAACAGGGCCCCAAGAACACCCGAAGACCACCCCGGAAGGTTTCCAAACGGACCAAGTGATTTCTGGGGCAGCCCGAGAGCTCTCCAGGGCGCTTGAACATGTCCCCAAGCCAGCACAATCTAGTTCTGAGTGGCAAAGAAAAGCGATGCTCATTGGTTTGTTCTCTTTTCTTGATTTTGGCTCAATCGCTTTTACGACTTTCCGATGTTCCAAGATCACCGCAATGGTTCCCACAAGCTCCCCAAGAAGGCTCCAAGACGGCTCTAGAGGGCCCCAAGCGAGGCCCAGGACGGCCCAAGAGGGCTCCATGACGAACTCAGAAGCGCTCAAGACGCCCCAAGACGGCGCCAAGGAGGGCCCAAGAGCCGAAGCGCGAACCATCAATTCGAGCCGTTCGCCTCCAGGCATTGTTTTTTGTGTTTGATACAATGCTGTTTTGGGTTCTCGCCGTTTCGTATCTCCGATTCTCCAAGCTCGCCCCGGCGGCCCCATCAATGGCTTCTTGACAGCCCCAGAAGCCCCCAAGAGTGTTCCCAGGCAGCTCAAGAGAGCTCCAAGAGGGCCCAAGAGTGCCCCAACAATGGCCGCAGAGGGGGAATGCGAACCGCGAAGTCCAACCTACCTCCTCAGGCGCCCCCAGAAGAACCGAAGAGGCCCGAATGCAGACCCCAAGGACGCTCAAAGAAACCCCAAAGGGAAAACGTCATTGATGTCCACGTGTTTTGTTTCAAGGTCTCGGGTTTCTCGCTTTGTCAAGCTCGGGGTGCTCTCAGACGGTCCGAGCGGTTGCCAAGATAATCCCAAGACGGCCCAAGTTGCCTCCAAGAGACCTCCAAGACGGCTGAAGGGGTGTCCAGGATCGCCTAAGAGAACATCCAGGCGGCCCCTGGAATGTAGAAGGGTGCAGCATGCAGACAGGAAGAAGAAACCAACAATTGCCGCATGCACTCGCATCTTATAACTGCTTTTCTGTTGTGGGCCCCGCCGCCAACAGCCCCTTGCAAATAATGGCGTCACTGTCAGGTGTCACTTTTCAGAGTCCGTAGAAGTCACTCCCTGAACGGGCCTGTTCAGATTTTCTCGGGCCTATCTGGGAATTCTTCTGGTCGTTTCTACAGGGCCCCGAGGTGTTCCCAGGGCGGACTCAGAGATCTCACGCTGCGCTGCCGAGGGCCATCAGTTTTTTCTAGTGGTGGTCACAGTTCTGGCGGCAAGGCTGACGAGTTAAAGTAGCCAGACCCCAACAGGGATGAAACGAACCGCTACCCGGGCAGTGGCGGGATGAGATGGGCTGAGGGATCTAAATTTGCGTTTATGCGCGAAGCGCGCACGTGTTTCCAGTCATTGTGCCACTCGCGCCAATGCGTGTCAGGCTGCCGACCAGATAAGCCAAGCTGATGCGTTCCCGTCGGAAACAATGTCATCACCATCACCACAACCACCACCACCATTATCATCAGCGTTGCCATGTCATAATCATCACCACCGTCACCGTGATCATCATACTGATCATCATCATCACCACCGTCACTACCATCATCAGCATAATCGCCATCACCATCACTAGCACCATTCCCATCATCATCATCATCAGCATCATCATCATCATCATCAGCATTATCATCATTATCATCATCATCATCCTCCTGGCAACCATCGTTATCATCATCGTCGTCAATCTATCCAGCACCATCATCAGCATCATCATCGTCGTGAATCTATGTACATATTATCGTCATCACCAAAATGTTCATCACCGTCATCATCATAACCGTCATCATCATCATCATCAGCATCACCATCATCATTATCATTATCATCAGCATCATTAGCATCACCACCATCATCATCATCATCACCGTCGTCATCGCCATCGCCATCATCACCGCCATCGTCGTGCACAAGTAATCCTGCCTGTACTGAGTCTTTGTCCATGTCAGAATCGTCCTCTCGGGTCCACTCCAATCGTGTCTTTCCTGGATAAGCCAGCCACATCTAAAGCTCGTGTGATAATGGATGCTGTCTTCACCTCCACATGCGACACAAAGAAGAGACGCAGCACCTTGTATTCTACTACGACGCACTTGGTCTAAAAATCCACCAGCGCCATGTCCTGAGAAGCGCAGGCTCTTGGTGCATAGTCGTCGCTAGATCCTCGGCGGTCCAGTGAGGTCGCCTTTGCCCTGCAACTCGGCAGTGGTTCGAGAAGCCGTCCGCGCGTGGATTGGTAGCCGACCTTCCCGAGGGAAGAGTTCGGCAAGTTCATGCGGTGTTGGCGCGCCTTCGACGCCAGCGAAGGCGTTCAAAGTTTAATTCTGCAACGTGGAGGCACCGAGGGACACAGTGACGCCACAGAACCCGACGGAGTTCAACCTTGAACGATCGGTGCTGCGATCGATTCAAGGTTGAACGATCGACGAGGTGCCAAAAATTTTGGCGCGCGCCGACGCCGCACGAACCGACCGTAGGCGGAGGAGGAGGAAGATAACTGAGCAGGACGGAGGAGGGGATGACGATAATGATGATGTTGATGCCTGATGCCTGATGCTTGATGATGATGTTGCTGATGCTGATGATGCTGATGCTGGTGATGATGGTCATGATGATGATGATGATGCTGATGATGATGATGATGCGGATGAGGATGACTGAGGGTTGGCCGGGCCTGGTGGGGCCCACACCGCCGAGCTTGGCGCAGGGCGCGACCGGCCAGGACAGGCCTTGGGCGAGTGTGCCCGTTCGCGCGTTCTGGGAGGTCGGGCGAGCCATGGGCCCCTGGTGCTTCCATGCTTCAGTCGGGCACGTCCCGCTACAGGTGGAATATTCAAGAGTAACTGGAAATAACTAGGTGACGATGTTTAACGCTCTTTTGACTATTTTTGGTTACTTCTTCACATTTTTTTCTTGCAAGGTCCGCCTGTCGGAGGACATGCCCGGCCTAATGCTACATTTCTGGCCTCGGCAAGCTCACTTCGCAGGATGGCCGTCGAGACAACGTCGACCTCTCTCTCTCTCTTTCTCGCTTCTCGCAATCGTTCGGCCTCGTGGGAGTTTCTTGTCACCACGGCTGGATCCGCCCTGAACGGCGGGTCAGGATAGACCCCCTAGAAGGTCTGGGGACCGATTTTGAAAGGAGTTGGGCCGAGCAGGAGAGACGCCGTTGTTTCAAGTTGCTGCACAACCGCACCACAGCTGGGCCCGACTGACGGCGGCATGGGAACCTGAGATCCATGACCGACGCCGACACGGCGGACAGCGAAAGCGGTGGAGTGACAACATCACAGAATTTGTGCAGAAAGTTTTGGTTGGAAGCACACCCGGCTCATGGCTACAGAGTGCCACAATTTCCAAAGCCTGAGCGGACTTCGAGAGCGACTTCTTGAAATTCACATGTCTATGACCAGGCTCCGTCCCGCCCGCGCCGCCCCTAAGGGGCTTGCTGGCCCGCCGGCCGGCGGACTCGCGCGTCTGCGTCTGCGTCTGCCCTCCTTTCATCAATCGATCCCTGGTTTGGTTAAAATATTCAAAGTCCTGTTTGTTCAGGATTTCAAGAGATCGCCCGCAGACAGGTGTCCCAGGAGTTTCCGCCCAAGTGTGTGTTTCTGTCGCCCCGATCGCTCTTCGCTAGTGCTGTTCTTCTGCCTCGCCGCCGACGACGACGCAAAACGTGAGTGTGTGTATGTGTGTGTCTGGCGTGCTCCGAAGCAGCAGGCCGCCCAGATCCTTACGGCCAAGAAGTCCTCACTCACTGCCGAGAAGATCTACGAGAAGAAGGAATGCCGTTCGCGGAGGAAGAGGACGAAGCAGGAGCACGAACACTAACACGAGAAAGGTGAGAGGAGGAAGAGGAGGAGAGAGGAGGGATGCGAGAGACAAGCTATGCGCGCTCGCGCCATTCCTGGCATCGTTCCACTTCCACCCATCCCTTCCAAGGGCGCTGCTTTTCAGACATCCGCGTCGTAGCCCGCCTGGAACCCCCAAGACGGCACCATCAGGAGAGAGGGGGGAAGCAGGAAGAGGAGGACCAGTTTCAACCCAAGGCGCATCAACGATGTTGCAATTCACGCTCCCTCCAAGTCCCCTGTGCACATATCCGTACACGGATCGATTATCATTGCGGGAAGTTGCCCATCACAAGGCAAGTGTCCGAGAATTTTCAATCGTGTCAGACGCCATTCCTGGGACCTGACCGCCGCGGATTACCGTGACTTGCGCGTCCTGATAATTTGAAATCGTGCCAGAACACCATTCTTGAGACGTCGGCACTGCGAATCAACGCGAGTGCTGCGCCGCCGCGACCTTAAATCTGCCAGCACACTAGTGTGGGGATTTCAACCATAAGAAGCCTGGAAATGTTCTCGTTAAGGCGAATGTGGGCGGCGCTGAAGCGAGAGCAACATTTTGAAAAGGAGCCGCCCTCCGTGCTTGAAGCTACTACTGCAGAGAAACAGACGCGCGGTGCTGAGGCGAGCGCCCCATTTTGAAACGGACGTGTACTCAATTCTTGAAGCTGTTGCAGACTTTAAAAACGAATGTGCGCGGCTTTGTGGCAAGAGTGAGATTTTGAAAAGCCCGTCCATCGTGAACTTGTCGCGCACGTTACGCCGAACGTGCGTGGCGCTGAGGTGAGAACCACCTTCTGAAACGGACTGATCCTCCATCTTTGAAGTTGCCGCAGAATTCTAGAAGCGTGGCGAGACCCCACCAGCCTATCCGGAAACGACGCCGAGTTGCCCTGATCAGAGATGTGGAGGAGCACGCAGTGGAAACATGGGCGAGGTAAGACGTCATACCCCAAGAGGGGGGTTGGAGGAGGAATCGGAAGAGCAGCTGTGCTTCACCTTTCGCGCCTCCTTTTTTTCTGCTGCGCCTGCCAGGCCTAATTTGCTTGTTGCAGGCCTAGGAAGGCCTTCCTTTTCTCACGCGAGCGCTTCAGGCTCTGACCTCTGGTTAGCGCAACGCCAACAGCAAGAAGAGGGAAGTGGGAAGCAGGAGGGGGAAAGAGGAGGAATGGGCAGGTCGCAACGTGTTTTTTGCCGTGTACGCAGCTCGAGGAGTTGCAGATGGCCATCCCACGGGCGAGAGGTTTGGGCACTCTGCATGCGCACGGCGACACGCCTCGTCGTCGTCGCCAGGCTGCGCACTTGGAAGTTCACTAGCGTCGGCTCGGGACGGCACCTCGGCTGCGACCAGACGATGCAGAGAGGAGACAAGGATTCGAAGGTCTTGAGTAGTGGCGGCAAGCGAGGAAGGGAAGTGAGACGGAGAAGGCCTTCTCAGAAGGCGGCGGGGCTTCTCAGAAGCACTCGGGCCTTTGATAAGTTTTTCTGCGTCTTCGGGGAAGGCCTGGACAATTTCTCAGAAGGCCGGGGGACTTCCGAGCACTCTGAGAAGGCTCGCCCCTTTTTATTTCCCCCTCGGCCGCCGCCGCAGAAAGGATCCATAGGTTCGCAGGTCCGCGTACGCGTCTCCAGAGACGCAGGATCAGGAGCAACAGGGCCCGCGGGCTCAGTAACGGCAGAAATGGATCTGTTCAAGGCTGCAGGGATGGGAGGCCTTCCCTCGGCCACGTACAGGTGTCGGGTGAGTCGCATGTCTGCCGCTACCCTTCGGCATCTGCGGGCGATCCTCGGCTCCGCTGTGTTGCTGGATTCCTAAAGGCAGGCGCAGGACGTCGGCAACTTTCGGTGGATCCGCAGGCGGACCCGTCGTACGACTTACGCGCTTTGCCTCTCTTAGCTTGGGGCCAAGCGGCCCGCTTGGGGTGGACGCAGCATCGTATCACGGAAAGCAGTATTACTTGTGTTTTGTTTGTCCGTGGGCCTGCTGGCGCACTTGCCCTCGCCGTCGAAAAATTCGGCTGTACAGTTAAGAGCCAGAGTAGGTTTGTCACGGTACGCGGGACGTTGACATCATTCTCTTGGGGTACAGCTCTTTGGAGGATGTTTTGCATCGGGCTGTTCAGGATCTGTTTGTCCGGAATTTTTGAGATGGAGTCTCGGCCCCCGGGCTCAACGGGGGACACTTGCTGGAACCCGTCGTTGAGGTTCTTCAGGAGCCCAGGGGCTCCGAGAGGCTCTCAGCTGCAGCAGGTTTGGCGGGGATCGTGGCTGGAGGCTACCCGATGCAGCTCACGCTGTACGACGACCGCCGAGTGAGTGGTCGACCCCATGTGCCAGCCATGTGGCGAGAGTCTTGGGACAGCATCTCACCTTCTCCGTTGCTCCCCATGCCAGGCTGCCGTTCGAGATTCTGATTTCGGCGAGCTGAAAGAGCTCGACATCACGCCATCTAATAGGTTGCTCGTGTCCCGTGCGCTGGCTAAAACCTCCAAGTGGCAGTAGCCTGCGCCGTATACCCAGGCTGAATATAAGTGGGACGCCGTTGCTCCTGCGGGTTGTGTCGGGCCG